TGCTAATTTGAGCCGCGAAATAAATTTTTGCAACTCCGTAGAATCGTTTGAGTTCGCGAATTTTTCGAAGTTTAAATCCTTTATTATATTTCCACCTCGCTTCCTAGTGTAAAAGCATCTTCGAGGAAAATCATCTTAGGGAAGCGAAAGTAGAGGCTTCGCCCTTTAAAATGAGCCCAGAAACATTGTCGTACGATTTTGTTTCACGAAGTTATAGCACTTTAAAAATCGACAATTTTTCGGCAATATTTTAGTGATCCTTCAATTTTGCTGTCGAGTGTATATGTACATCTAGTTTTATGCTTTTCGTTTTTATTTTTCTAAGAATTGAAAAAGTTAACAGAACTTCTCTTTGCGCTATTCATTTCACAATCATTACATTGTCCGGTATTTCAAATGGCATTTCAACATCTTCTACAGCACTTGCAGCTTCCGACTAGACAAAATCAATACAACGATCTTAGTCTTGTTTAGTTCAAAAATTTTCTATTTCACATCTGTTCCTAATGATATTATGATGGCTCCGCTTTTTGCTTCGTCAAGAAATACACGCACATCCCGTAAGATAATGATAAAAACATTTCGATGATACACAAAAATATTATACAAAATCAATATACAAAATATACCTAATAAAAATCTAAATTCTAAATCGGCAAATCGAGAGTATCCCAGTGAGAAATCGACATCGACGTTGACAAATTGACGTCCATTCGACTTGACTTCGTTTCGATATCGATCGACGAGTCTTTCTCGCTGGGATTCGATATTGACAAAATGGATTATTCTAAGCAAAGGGCTATTATCAAATTCATTCAAACAATTTTCGTGCACAGGTCCGGCAATTGGTTCCGCGACCTGAGCACGCAGTTCTCTAGTCTCCAGGGCACTCGGTGGCAATGGAATCTCAAACTCGAACATACAATGACTATTGATTACGACAATACTATTACTGTCATTTTCTATTTCATTATAACATATTCCTCAGCGAGCCGTTGAACGATAATCAAGAAATAATAGTGTGATCGCATGAAATCGTCTGTCATAAAATATATAGTATTCTACGTTCTCTGCCACAAACTTGCGAGTTTTGCAATATCTGAACTTGTATAAGGTCGAGCTGTCGACTAACTTACAAAGACCACCCATAAAATCATTGAGCCACGGTGCAGCACTTAACGACATAAAACCAAATATTAGGTATAGAATTTTCAATTTCGTAGGTGGGACAACGAATTCTCAACGTTCGTTGTTGTTTTTCTCTCGACGCGGTGACGTATGATGTTCTTGCGTGCCATCGTGTACCCGAAGGTCGCCGCGCTATCACTCGCTCGCCGAACGTCAAGCCGGTAAGCAGTGGCGATAGTCGCTCCGTGCGTGGTATTACTTTTGCGTTATCAGTCTCCAAGACCCGATCGCGATGAATGCAGGGATAAATCGTTAAGGATTTGCACATCTTTATCAGTAACAAGTAACGTTCCTCGATTAATTACGAATTGTATGTTGAGGCGACGGCTCTTTATCAACGTATACATAGATATATCACGAGACTAACTCATCTAAAATATCAACGTAAACGTCGTAAACCATCGTAATCCTTTTTACCCGACTAATGTTGATTAATTCCATGGTACTTTGTCGCGATTACATCTCGTTTGCGCACCGCGCTTTTAATTATCTATCGATTTCGTGTAATCTGTTCCATTTTCGGGAAAAGAGAGAAATTTGTGCGACTTCGGCGTTCGCGCTGTAATTCGCTCTGTCGTTGTTCGCAACTCGAACGGGCAGGAAGTAAAGAAAGTCGCTTATCGCACGTCGTTATATTATGTAAAGGTAATCGAATATTATCTCGGTTAACTGTTGCAATTAATAACAACTATTTATTGCTGGAAATTTCGCTCACATAATTTATTTCGAGGATTAGATTGAATGACAAAGATCGTAAAATATCGTTTCGTTGCGGACTAATAACTACTTCTTTACCGCAGATTATGCTTCCGGTGCTCACGTTGCGTTTTATATCGCCAATTCAATAGTGATTTATCCATTCTTCCGAATCAAAAATGCAAGTTGTTAGTTTGAGTAATTTGTATAATAGAGATCGAGTCACGCGATATTTGTTAATAATATTTCGTGCGTTTCGCGGTATTTCCCATCGCGTACGGGAGTGCCCGAAATTTCGCGCGATCGATGATTATCTCGAGTGAGTTAGTCGAGTGTCGTGTGAGTGCAACAAGGAAATCTGAGAGGAGGAGGAGGCATCGGGCAACGGCAGAGAAATAGTGAGATAAGTGTCTTATATTTTTATGTTATTTGCTACTTGTGCAAAATAAAGCATCTATTGTGTGTTTTTATTTTATTTATTCAAACGATTCGAACGAGAATTCGAATAAGTGTTAGAGACAAAACCATACATATAAAATTTTGTGAGTTTTTACTTTTGGAACTATTTTGCTATGCATCTTCTGACACTGCCGACAAAGTCACCACTTTGTGCGTATCCATGCTACGCCTATTTTTTAGGATTGTACCGTAAAATTCAAAATTACATTCACATAAGTTATCTGCATGATATTTACATCAACTTTTCTCATGTAGACAATGTAAATTTTATAAATTAGATGTCAGAATGCATAGCACAGACGTGCACCAAGTGGAAATTTTATCGACAGAGACAGAAAACGCGTAATAAAATAGTTCCAAGAGTAAAAATGGGCGTAAGAGCGCGCAAAACAGTCTCCCGAAACGGTATCAAGTACAACGTCGGCATGGCTGCTCTCAGGTTTATCTCTGGAGGTACAAATGCTAAAATTTATAAGGCCATTTCTCAGGCAGCACACATTGGTTTCGAAACCGTTTCCTAAACGTTTTCACGTATCGTTTCAAAACCATTTCATAGAAACGTTTATCAAAGGTAAAAATGTCCATCAAAAAAACGTTTTGGGTAACATGAAAAAATCAATTTTTCGTTTTTGTAAAAACGTGAAATATCCCAGACAGCACAGATCTCCTGAAGACGTTTTAAAGACATCCTCTGGACGTCCTTATGTCTTAAGAATGTTCCCAGGACATCCATAGGATATCGTGTGCTGTCTGGGATGTATACGTTTTTAAAATTAAGGTTTAAAAACGGTTTCCATTTAAACCGTATATTTATGGTACTTTATGTTTCTTAGGTATTAGACACGTCTAAGAAACGTGTGCTGCCTGGATTGGGAAAGAGCTACCTCAAAAAGAATACAAATGACTATAAGAAATATTTAACTAAAAAGGAACAATATATTTTATTTAATACAAGAGTTCTTTTTAACAAAGAGATCTGCTTAATAAAAATACTAAAATATTACTAATATCTACTATTATATTGATTTATTTGACAAGTGAGTACAATGTAACATATGGTATAAAGGATTATACATATTTATGTAAATAATATATTATACTTTTGTGAATATTCACGTTTTTAATATTAAATTCAGTAATAACACGCACTCTCTGTTGATATTTAACAGTTTAAGCTTGTTTGCTTTTGCACAACTTAAATACAATATATGTATAATTGTAGCAAAAATTAATTAATTTTCTTGTTAAAAAGTATATACTCAACAATATTATGAAGAAAATAAGGAACAAAACTGCGTAGACATCGATTAGATTTTGTACCATCCAACTCTGAGATCTAAGTGGCGTTGCTAAACTTCCATTAGGATGACGAGCGGTGTATTCAATACTCCAAACAGCTAAATCTAATGGCGGGATTGGCCGGTCCCGGAATTCACTGGATAATCGTTTCATGTTTCTTGTATAACTGCACAAAAATTTTATTAATATAATACAAACTTATAGCACGACTTAACTAAAAATAAAAGCTGCAAAGACATGCATGAAAATAAAATTGTATAACATATTAATTTTTAAACATTATTTTAATAAAAAATTTCTTAAACCGATTGTATCAAATTATCCAAATAGCATAGAGAATCCAAAAAAATGAAATTTGAATTTCGGAAATAATGAATTTCGGAAATATGAAATGAATTCCTTTCCATACCATTTTTGTTCTAAAAACTTCTTAAAAGATCAAAATTAATTTATTTCTGTATATCCAATTCTAAGCCTTTTTTCAACGACAAATAAAAATTTTTTCAAACCAAAAATAAATTCTCTTGAGTTCAAAATAAATTACGCTAACAAAAGTTTTTTTTAATTCTGAACTGATTTTTAGTTTCTAACAATCGATTTCGAGACGAGATCGAGACGAGAACGAGACTTTTCTAGTCTCGTGCGCATCTCTACATAATGCAGATATTATTTAAAGTAATTGTACTTATTGTGCATTACTTTTTTTCAATAATAATTGTTACACTCAAATAGAATACCTTTTATTGTAAAGTATTTTTTCAATTGCATGTAGTACGGACTGTGTAGATAAAATTTTAAAGTCTAAGCGTATACCAACGCCTTTAGCCACTAATACTTCAGCATTAGACTTTTGATCCATAAAGAAAGGCGTTACAATCATTGGTATACCTTCCCAAATGGCTTCTTGGGTGCTAAGAAGACCAGCATGCATCCAGACTGCTTTCACATTTTTATGAGCTTAAAATAACAATTCATTATAATAAATTTATTTGTCAACTAGTATCGTCAAAATTTGATGTAATAAAACAAAATAATTTTTTAAACGGTATTATATTTAAATTTTAAATTTTAATCGACTTCAGCTGGCCACATTTATTGAATACGCTTTCACAACGCTTCGACCTTTGGTTTAGGTACTTATCAAGTAAGATCTAGGAATAAATTTTTACATACAGTTTACGTGAGAAGTATAAACGAGAGCAACACAAGAAGGAGAGAGATAGCAGAAATGGTTTTTATAAAAATGACTAATGACGCTATCAATTTACAAAAAGACGCAGAAAATCTTAACGCTATTTATGACCGCGTAATTGACTTAACTTAAATCTGGACACCACTATTTTTTTATTATTTTGACTTATTCTCGTGACTTTTACTTGTTTTTAATTACACCAACCGACCAATATTTCAGTCCATCATGCCCCGTCATCTATCGAGCAATATGTTCTCGTGTATCAAACACTGACACTAAATTTTCATAGCATGTAAGTCTTTATATTAATTACATTCCAAATTTCTGCACCTTTCTCTCTTTCTAACTCTCTCAATTTTAGTATATGATCATACATGAAAATCCATTTTACATCGCCAAAACACACCCGAGTCTATGTATACGACCACCTCAAATAATGTCTCCAACAATTGTAAATTATTGTAACAGTGAACACAACATCTCCGATTTATTTAATTTATTTATACATATATTAATATTGTTAATCTCTAATTTATACAGTCAGATCGCTTGAAAAGGACCAAAACCCACGGTCGAAATGTAGCGATGCTTAAATCTTTAAAATTGCCAGATACGGTCAACAAATCTTAATGTTTTTAAAATTAAACAAATTGTATAAGAAAACATGTATCGAGTTTGACGTTTTTCATATTTTTTTTAGGTATCAGGGAACGTACGTACACAAAACTTCTTTTTGCGGTATCCACTTCATTGTCATGACATTATCCGGCATTTGAAATGATGCTTCAATATCTCGATCAATTATATCTAACTTCCAAAGCACTCGTTGTTTCAATTTCGACAGAGCCAATATAACGGCCTTAATCTTGTCTGGCCCGAAACATTTCCATCTCACATTTGTACCTAACGATATTACAATGGCTCCGCTCTTTGCTTCATCAAGAAATACATGCACGTTCTGCAAGATAATAAAAATAGAAAAATATATATTTTAATAATATATATTTCAATTCTACAGCAACTAATCAAAAGTAAATGATACACGTTTACAGAACGGATTATTCTAAACGTGAAGCATATTCCTAATTCTTTCAAATAAAATTCGTACGACATTCTTCGTATAAACTGTTTTTAGATAAATATTGAAAAATTGGAATATAAAAGCATTATTCTTACCTTGGGATACGTTACGACTTTATCTCCAGCAATCGGCTGTACGGTCTGAACGTGCAATCCCCCAGTTTCCAAAGTGTTCGGCGGTACTGGAATTGCAGGCTCAAACGCACAATAACTATTAATTAAAACTATATTAATACTGTCTTTTTCTATTTCGTGTAATGGCCTGATTGCGTGGCCTACATATTTCTCAGCGATCCGTTGAGCGTTAGGCAAGAAATAATAGTGTCTCAGAAGATCATCCACCATGAAATATAAAGTATTCCACGTTGTCTGCCACAAACCTACAGGTTTTGCAATAACTGAACTGGTATAAGGTCGAACAGTTGGATAACTTGGACCACCGGTGAAATCCTTGAGCCAAGGTGCACTGCCTAAAGGAATAAGGCCTACTATCGGTGGCTTACCCTTAGCATCCTGTAGAGAATGTGCAAGAAGCAAGAATAACAAAAAATAAAAATAAAAAGTAAAGAGAACGCAAGACTTTTTACGTTCTAATACTTTTTCACATTTTGTATATCACAAAAACCTATAAAATGCATTTTTTTTAAATATCCTTTCTCACGTAACAAAAATTATTATCACTGAACTGATGACTACTCGCTTTCAATACGACTTCAAGGCCGTGCGATGCCATAAAAACAAAATTTTACTTACAGAGTTGCTTCAGGTGCTTGCGACGAAGAAATGTACTGAATAATTTACAATTTCATTACAATGCAAATATACATCGCTTATCTTTACCTCCCACAATCCGTAGAAACATTGCTGTAGAGTAACGTCGTGTACTATAACATCAAACTCGACAGTCTTGATCATTTCCAGAAGTTCTTTTGCTGCTTTCGTTTTTATCACTGTGTCGCATTTTATGATGCCCCATAGATATGCAACATAAGCCATATAAAATTCGTTGAATTCCTCCCACTGATCAGGGCAATAATCTTCAAATTTGTCGTGAGACGTCATCACATCTGCGAAAACCTGAAAAAAGTCATATAAATCTGAAACTCTGAAGTATTCTTCATTATGTGAAACGAAATCAAACGATTAAATTTTATTTTTAAAAAATTAAATAGTATTTTAAAACAAAAAATGTGTTTATGTTCAAGTTCATACTAATAATATCTACTTACGTCGTACGTTAGGTTCTCCGCGAGTTTCCCCTCAATCTTAGTCTCCAGTACGCTCACTGTGTGCACATGATGGCCTTTGCGAAGCAGTCCTTTAACTAAATGCTCCGTCCAGATGTGATGACTGGTCGATGGAATACTCTGTATCAGTAAAACTGACAGTGGTTTCGATGTCACGAGGCCAATTGAAATACAGCAAATAAAGTAAAACGATAAAATAAAACAACTTGACATTGTTGAAACAAACGCGCCCCCTTGCTGAACTTTCGATCAGATCGCAAGACTAAAAGCAAAAGCATGTATTTCTAGTATGCATTCTAGTTTTGTGCTTCTCCTTTCTTTATTTCAAGCTAATTATAGCTACAATCCACATACCACAAATGACTGTTTGCCGGCTGATAGTCGACATTTTTTCACCTTGAAGTCAACTTTTTAAGTCGACATTTAATTAACTATTTATAAGATGGTTTATTGTCGACTTTAACTATAGACTGAAAGTCGACCTAAAGTCGACATTTCCAGGAACCCACATAGCACAGCGACATCACAGTGATATCAGTGTGATATCTGTTTAAG